GGAATTTGTTCCCAAAAACAAAACATGATAAAACAATGTTTACCAAAGCATTTCATAAAAGAAATGTATTTTTCATTATATAATCAAAACTCGGGGTGTCATGTTCCGATATAGACCAACAAGCATAAACGATAACATTACAAGTCATTCAACAAATATTTACATATACAGACTTGTAAACAAAACAACTTGATGGTTCATCCATCTTACGCCCTTGCGCCACTTCCTGTAATACAAATAAAACTGAGTGGGTCAGGCTTGGGAGCCTGGTGAGCATATAGGGTTTTCAACCCACAATAAATAATTAAATTAATTATTATCAACCAACAATAACCCAGTTACCCATTCCCGTTATTCTCACTTTACGTCCCTAAAATAACTAACACAAGGGACCTAATCTAAGAATATTTTCATCGGGGTGACAACACATGCTGCGGGGTTTCCTCAGCAATATAAGTCAAATAAGGCAACCATGAGGGGGATGGAATACAGCGAATGAACACCCAAGTTCATTAACACCTACAGGTTATGAGCCTGCTAGCGTTCCACTGGACTATCTAGAAAAGTCCGTGGTCGTCATCTAAATTCCGCTAGATGACTGGATCAAAACAACAACGAGGCCTCTCATCTGTTTATTACACACCAACTATCTACCCATGTTCTACCCAACATATTAGTAGATAAAAACATACATTTTTATACATATTTTCAAAACCTGTATAGCATGCTTGATCAATACATTTTCCATATAACAGATGAGGCACACACACATAACACGTATTTCATATAGAAATAATCATATCTGTAAGATAGAAGAAAGTGAATATACATTCACACACATAACAACAAAATATACACATAACACGTATCTCGTATAAAATACTTCATAGTTATACGTTATGAGAAAGTAACAACGCATTCACACGTATAAACGACAATAAACTTAATACCCTCGAACCATACTTGTATTATTATTGCGTTTATGAAAGGTAGTATACACTCACTTGATCAGAAGATGATCAGACAGCACTACGGCTTGCAAAAGTAGTAATCCTCAGCAGATCTGGAAGATCTCTACGAAAATCGAACTTCTCGCGGGCAGAGCTTCGGCTCGGAAACCGCACTTCTCGGGATCTTCGGGATCTCGGGACTCGCTTCGGGACTCGGGAATATAACCGGGGCTTCGGGATGGCTTCGGGGGTAAAAACGCAGAGCTTCGGCACAAAAACGAGAGGAAATTAGCAAATAAACCCGAACCCCTCGCATCCTATTTATAGGAGGCTGGAAGCTCCTCGTACGCGGGGCATACATGCGTACGCGGGGCGTACGTGCCTCAGAAACGTAAGCGCATGCGTCATCCGAAGCCACTTGCTGCGATGTTGACACTTTCGGAGTACGCGGGGCGTACTCACTTACGCGGCGCGTAAGTCGGATCAGATCTGTGACTCGCCTTCGGATAATGCTTCCGAGTTTTGATTTAAAAATAAATACAAATTAATTAATAAACTTCGGAAATTCATATCTTCTTCATACGAACTCCGTTTTCGACGTTTTTTATATCCACGGAAAGATGAGACTACGCTCTACAACTTTCATTTAGACTCCGTCGGCTAATTTTGAGTTTATTTTTATTATTTATTTTTAATAGGCCGGGACAGAAATATTCGTTATAAATTCATAACTTCTTCGTTTGACGTCCGTTCTCGCCTAACTTTTTATCGCTTTGATACTAACAACGAGATCTTCGATTATCGTTTAGATCACTAAGGCTAAATATCGCTTTAACGTAAATCTCACTTTTTACGTTATCCAACGTTGCCGGTTCTGTCGCGAAACTTCGACAGGTCATAACTTCCTCGTTATAACTCGGATTTCGGCATTCTTTATATCTCCGGAAACCTTGTTTCAACTACTACAACATTATCTAAAGATATCAAGTTTAATTTACACTTAAATTTTGATGCTTATTTTTATTCTTAATTAATCTAACCACATAATTAAACAATTAAGCACAAAACACAAAATACTCAAATAATACAATCTTATTATTTCAAAACGGGTTACAAAGGTTAACCTAGACCATTACATTGCTAAAAATGGCAAGCCTAGAAACACAGGCGTTACACATACCCCAACTACACACTTCTAACTCTGATTTTCTTAATGTGACTGATGGAAAAAGGTTGTTGACCAATAATTGGCTACCGATCACTCATGTCAGATATACCAATCGATCCGGATTGTAGCTCAAAAGGAACGAAAGAGTCACATCTCACCAGGGATCCACCACCTGTATTGCTATCAGAACCCAACTGAAAAACGAACCTCTATACTGTCCTCAGACACAATAAAATGATCATGCCTGCTCGGAACTATCCTTTGAGACCTATACTCAGAAGCCCCATCTTCCTCTCAAATACCCCTCCAACACTGAGCACAAGGTCAGCTCCCGACCCAATAGTGGAACCTCCAAAGGCTACCCATCGCACACCCAATAACCCAACTTTACAGACTTCCTTCTCATAATAACTATCTTTACCCATCATATAACACACCAGTCTTGAAGTTTGCTTTACCTCGAGCGAATACTACAACCCTATCTGAAGTCGCTTCACCTCCGAACTCTGTCGTCTACCACTCACTAGTTCCATGTGTCTCGTGGTCCTTCCTAAACCAACGAACCAACCCACTCAGGTCTGAGACATCAAATGGAACCCATTACCTTTCAAAATGAAACCCATCCGAAGATCCAGAATCTCACCCTGCCTTCTCATTACACAAATAGAGCCAATATCAAGCTATGGAGTCTAATTCAGTAGAAGAATTAGAACCACTCATCTCGAATCTGATACTCAACTCACGCCCCGCGATCCAAAAATCTATGTGTACACCACTTCTTCAATTGGGATGCAACGATTCCCGAACATCATGGAGACCCCAGTCTCGCCCCTGGTCCGACCACCAGATTCCCAAAGACTCGACTGGTAAGGCTACCCAAGCCTAATAATTCGTCTGTGTCATGCTCTAACTAGTGATCATTACGACTCCCCCACAGATTCACAATACTCTCTTGCTAGCTAGTGAAAGCTACGGCTGCTCGCAGATTCACGATACTCCCTCGCTGGCTAGTGAAAGCTAAACGCTCTCACTCACTCATGGGCTAGTGAAAGCTACGACTCTCTGCAGTTCCACAACACTCTCTTGCTAACCAGTGAAAGCTATGGCTCCCCACAGTTTCACAACGCTCTCTCTCACTCGTAGGCTAGTGAAAGATACGGTTCCTCGCAGTTCCACAACACTCTCTTGCTAACCAGTGAAAGCTACGGCTCCCTGCAGTTTCACAACGCTCTCTCTCTCTCTCACTCGTGGGATAGTGAAAGCTACAGCTCCCCGCAGTTCCACAACACTCTCTTGCTAACCAGTGAAAGCTACATCTCCCCGCATTTTCACAATGCTCTCTCTCTTTATCTCTCTCTCTCTCTATCTCTCTCTCTCTCTCTCTCTCTCTCTCTCTCTCTCTCTCTCTTTCTCTCACACTCACCATGGGCTTACCCCATGGCTTTCCCTGATAGTCCCAAGTGATTACTCCCATTCGGATCCACTCGATCTCTTATCACTCGACAATCTCATCCTTGATTCTTCACCCCACTGAGTTCACTAACTCATGCTCTGCGGTTCAATCATAAATAGGTACACGCACCCACCTATACTAAGAATCACTACTCCTGACAACAACCGTTGTAACAGAACACTTTCTCTTGCTATAATTCACATTCATGGATAATCCCGTTCGATGACAATTGGCTGAAGGGCTCCCACTGGAACAATAGTCACTTAGTACTCCACTGGCCATCTCACAAACTCAAGTCTCAAATAATCCAAAAATTTAGGGCATCATACTCGGATACCTCGAAACACCATCACAGAACCTCATGATGTCTTGCCTCAACCACTGATCTTCTACTCACGGCATCATACCCAGATACCGCAATACACCCTCTCAGAATCTCACAATATCTCACCTCTACCACTGATCTTCCTCTCGCATAACTCGTAACCTTAAAATACTCTAACTCACAATTTGAAACACGACGAATCGTCATTGACTAAGAGCATATTGAGGACAATCCGAAACTCCATCCTCTACTGCTTAAAACTCATGTGAGAATACTCATACCAACTCTGAAGTTGGTTTCCAATTCAATTGTTTCCTTTCCTGAAGTGCACATAACAACCCATACGTCGAACTAGAAATTCTCAACCATCGAAACTAGACCTCAACAAGCCAACCGCCTCAAACTCAACCACTACAAACTCGAAGAGTTCCTAAACACAATAAGGTCCCTGACCAATGGTTACTCGCTGTGGATACGCTTATCCTTTCCTGAACACGTACCTCATGCATCATCTCGCTCTACACCTTGCCTCATATACCAATAACCCAAGTCTCAGGTGCACGTATCGTAGATATCCATAACAAGTTCTCTAACCGTACTTGTTGTAACACCTCGCTTATTATATGATTATATATATAAATTTATGAAAGTGTGGCAGCACTAAAATCCATAATAGCCAAATTTTATAAATAGGATTATTCGGGGGTAAAAGTGTAAGTTTTGGGACTTATTTGTTAAGTTTTTTAGAAGACAAGGGGTGTTTGGTAAGTATTAATATGAAAGGATTTTAAAAATTGGTGTATGCTTGGTAATTATTAGGACTTATTATGGAATCAAGGGCCAAAGGGGTTAATTTTGGATTTAAATTGTAAAGATTTTAGGAAGCTAGGGGCTAAAAGGTAAAATTTAGGTTTAAATTGGAAAAAACTCTAGTGGGGAGGGGTCGATATTGGCAAAATGGCCAAAAGTTTGTGAAACACGGGTGAACCCGTCACCCTCGTGTGTGCAGCCTCCATATATAACCCATGCCATATTAACCCTAACCCTAATTGATAAACCAGCCGCCACATTCCATTCTTCTATTTTACCGGTGCCACCACCACCATGTCGAGGTCACAAGTGAGTCACTTGAGCCCATCCTCCCTACATCGGAATGAGAGCACGCCTGTCGGAGGATTGATTTCTACAGTGAGACACAGGACCTCAACCGCCATTACCTTCGCTCCTCCATCGTTCTCCTTCTTCACTTCTGACAGCCTCCATCATCGGAGCCGCCCAATCATCATCCAGTCACGAGCAACCCAACCACCAATGGAAGCCGTAACCACCATCATGCGTACGTTGCTGATGCTGCCCTTCGACGAGGACAAAGTCGTCGCCTGCTGCCTTAAGGATGTGTGCCTTCGCGACATGGTTGCCGACGATGTAACCGAATCGTGAAGGTGCAGCTGCCACCTCCCTTGTTCTTGTTGCATTGTCACAGGTACGTTGCTGCCTGAGATTCCATGAACCGTAAGGACTGACCACTGCCACCACCGTGTGCCACCAGGTGGGTGGCAAGGGTTTGTAATCAGTTAGGGCGTATGCGTGTTATTTCAGTGATATATGATTGGGTTTGTTGGCCGGATAGATCAAGAAAGCCACTGCCACCATGAACCACCGTTGGCCACAACTAGGGTGATTGTATGTGTGTGTAAGAGTAATGTGTGTGTGTGTGTGTGTTTATTTATGGACTAAAAACTTGTAATTGTAATTAGCAAAATATGTAATGAAAAGAACCATAACCACCACCGTAAGGTGGTGGCCGCTGCCGCGAACCGCCGTTGACCACCACTACCCGAGGTGGTAGTGGGTAGTGCCCCACTAGCCAAACCCTAATCGGCTTAAACATTAATTTTGGGCTTATTGGGCCATGTTTACATGGAAACCCTAATTAGGGTTTAGAAAACCCTAATTGTGAGTATTTGGGCCTTAGACTTATTGGGACCCACCTTTGGGCCATTGGGATTAAATTGTGTATTAAGCCCAAATTATTCCATATCATTTATCTAGTAGAGTAAAGGGCTTAATGGATTAATTCCTTAATGGGTTAAGTGAGAAACACTTAACCCTAATTGTCATTTTATGTGAAATCCTAAATCCACTTGGACTTTGAGTTGGGCCTTCCTATTGGGCCTTTGTGATTGGGATAATAATGGACCATCCAAGAGCAAGCCAATGGACTAGAACATTTAGATGGGCTTTAGGGTAAGGCCCATATGTGAGGGTTTGGGCCCAATTTGGAAAATTAGGCCATAGATGGGCCATAGTTTGGGCATTAATGATTATATGATATTGGGTCATTAGAATGTCAAATGTTAGACTGGACTAAATGGTTGGGCCTTTGATCAAGACCATGTAAAGGTTTGGGCCCAATTTTCCATAGTTGGGCCTTGGTTTATTATTAGACTTTTGGGCCTTTGGATTGGGCCTTGAGTTGAATCAAGCTAAGATTGGGGTAAAGTAGTCTTTTACCCCAAGCATGGACTTATGAGTATATGTGTTGGAACCCAATTATTAATTGTGTGTTATTTTGGTGTTGACAGATTCGAGAGAATCTATAATCCAGCAGCTAGGGTATTATCAGCAGGAATTCAACAGTGTGAGGTGAGTTTTCCTCCAGTAGGAACGGGTCTAAGGCACCAATGCTGGCCCGTTCATATAGTTACAGTATGAAGGGGTAAGTCCAATGCTGGGATAGCCCGATGCAGTTTATATGTTCAGTTTATTCCGGACTTCGGTTCGATGCCAGGGTGGTCCCGAGAAGTAGTTTTGTATGCTTGATGTCTTTGTGATTCATGCATTTTTATGTTATGTGTTATGTGTTCTGGAATCCGGTCCGATGTAGGGAAATCCCGATGCAGTTTATTTATGTTATATGTTTGAGTTTATGTTATGATTAAGTTTATTCCGGACTTTGGTCCGATGCCGGGTGGGCCTCGATGCAATGGGCGGGGCCCAAGTTATTCCGGACTTCGGTCCGATGTCGGGAGGGGCCCGATGCAGTGGGCAGGGCCCAAGTTATTTCGGACTTAGGTCCGATGTCGGGCGGGGCCCAAGCTAGTCTGGACTTTGGTCTAATGTCGGGTGGGGCCCGATGCAGTGGGCAAGACCCAATATGTGTTATATGAGTTATTGTATGGTATGTGGTAGTTTGGGGAGACTCACTAAGCTTCATGCTTACAGTTTTTAGTTTTGATTTCAGGTACTTCAGGTTTCGAAAGAGGAGCCCGGGAAGGTTGCAGTGCACACACCATTTGTTCATTCTGGGATATTTATACTCTGATATACATGACAATTGTTATAGTATTTTGAGATACATTGTGTGACATCCATAAAATTCACACCAAATTTAAACTTTTTCAATCATAAATAAAAACCACATAGCATTGTTTACAAAATGTTTTCAAATCATTTTCCATCAGAGTGTCCCAAAAATCATAACATAAGGATGAGGAGCGATACGGTCAGGCCTTCGCCTTTCCACGATCTCCTGAAGTACCTGAAACAGTAAACTGAAAACTGTAAGCCCGAGGGCTTAGTGAGCTACCCCTAAAATACCAACACCACACTGACAATACCATAACAGTAATAATCAATCAATCAATTAATATGAATACTGGGCCATCAGCCTGAATGGACTGCCCTACTGGGCCTACAGTCTGTCTGGATCTATCCCGAGCCTTCGGCATGACTGGTCCGCCATGTGGGCCTACAATCTCCCTGGACCGCTCATAGGGTATGATGGCCTTCAGCACGAAGCAGGACCGCCTCAACCCAACCATCAAGCAAATAACCGTGTGCACATAGCTATCATATACTGGCATATACAAACATCAAACATATCTATCTCACTGATCACAATCATAGAAATCTCTTGTAACTAAAGTACCGACCTAACATGTTACTATCACACCAATCCCTACGGATCATAAAAGCATAACATACTGTCTACCTCGATTCTGAACTAACAAATCATGACCATATGCAACATACCATAACAATAACAATTAAAGGGCCGACCTTGGTGTCGTAGACCCTATCGATATAGTGAGGATAACTCACCTCGCAGATGTCGACCCGAAAGGTAAACTCCAACTCTCGGATCACTCGACACAGGCCCCACTACCTATAACCATAGTTCAATATACACATAAGTCTTTAACCTTATAAGTTACTCCACAACCCAATAGTCAACCCTTGATCAAGGTCAAAGTCCTCAGTCAAGGTCAACAGTCCATGTTGACCTCAACTCGCCGAGTACACCCAACTACTCGCCGAGTCGTTGAAGCACAATCCAACTTGCCGAGTGATCGAGGTGACTCGTCGAGTTCCTTCGAATCTGAATTAGACCTTAAGGCCACCCGTCGAGTTCCCTACCTGCGACTCGACGGATATACTCGCAAACATATTATTGGTTAAAACTCATCCGACTCGCCGAGTTGTTCTTTAACTCATCGAGTCTCTTGACAATCTTCATCGGACTAGCCGAGTTGTTCAACCAACTCATCGAGTTCAATGGCCATCTTCATGCAACTCGCCGATTTCATTCAGTCCTCTTCCATACAGATCCATTTTGAGTCATGCAACGACTCCAAATCACGGATCCAAGCTTCTAGGTCATGCTTATCACGTAAAGTTGCAAACTTTACGTGCATCCATGGCTTTAAAGGCTCAAAATGGCAAATCTAAGCTTTTGATGGGTCTTTATGCACAAAGGGGACCTCAATCACGACTAAAGCTGCAACTTTATGCTTCTAGAATCCAAAGAGAGTCCAGATCTGAAGTTACAACTTCAGATCTAGCCCATAGCTCATCATACTAACTTGATATTTCATGAAAACCCTAAAACTCACCCAATAAAGGAGTTCTATAAGGAGAATGACAGTTTAGGTACCTTTTGAAGTTGATATCTGAGATGGGTTTTGATTCCCACACTCCAATTGCTTCAATCTCCTTCTCCACCAAGTCTTCTCCCTCCAAGAACTCTCTTTCAAGCTTCAAACACACACACAAGGCACACTCACACGAATAAGTCTCTCAAGGGTACTTTGGAACTGTAAGGAGGTCCAAGGGAAGCTAAGGTCCCTTTAAATAGGGGTGCAAACCCCGGGAATTAGGGTTTCACTTGCCAGCTCCTACTTGCCGAGTCCTAATATGGATTCGTCAAGCAGGTCACTTAACTTGCAATCCTTCTCACAGCTACTCGACGAGTAGGTAAACCAACTCGTCGAGTAGGGCCTAATCCAAAAACTCATATTAACAATACCTGAGAATCGGGGCGTTACACATTGTTTATGATATTTCTATGACGTATGATGACTATGGGTTTTATTATTAAATTAAAACGAATTTTTTAGACCGTGTTTTTGGGATGTTTCACTTGTAGATCCTCTCAATAGAATACCCATTTCTCCCCCACTTAGGGTTCGAACCATCACTAATTGGCATACCAACAGTCTACTCCACAGACTGTTTCACTAGGTACATCACACTTGACTCTTGGAATATACAACGTAACACTCGATAATCTTCCCGATAGAGACCAAGCAACTCCAAATATCCCGAATCTCAGGTGAAATTCTCGGAATCCTTTCCACGTGACTGCCTCTAGTCATCCCGAAATCTCATACCGATGCACTGCTGGATATCCCAACCGTCCCGAATTAGTCATGACTCTCGATTTGGAAATAATGTACTATCACACACCTCGTCTCCGATCCATCAACCAACATCCCATCGTGTGGATCATCATAAAAGCAAGAGACCTCACTCTTACAGTTGATACACGACCGATATAGTCCTCTTGATCACCGTGAACGGATACTAAAAAGTATGCCTTACTCAACTAATGCATCTCCTTGACCTCATCCATCTCAGTCCTCACGGATTTCTCTCTCACGATGTAAGAAATACCTCGCAGCGAACATACCATAATTACTTTGGTGAAAATATCGCAATTATGTGCTACCCCCCAGGGTTACCACCAGGCTCTAGAACCAGAAACTCGTTATCTCATTTTCTTCACACGAGAAGTGGAAAATAGTGTAATTCTCATTAGAGAATGTGGCATCTCAACCATCGGTCCATCACTCAACCCAGACCGCAATCCTCCTCAACATATCACCTCCACTTTTTCCTAAAGTCTTGTGACTCCAACTGGCAGCCCACCAGTCAACTCCTCGAGATCTAAACTCAATTCCCTCACAAGCTACACTCTATTGAAGCTCAACCATCATGGCCCTCTGGTCCCACAGTTTATCGTATCCATTCCCAGTCTAAACACCTATTGTTGGATAACTGGTAAAATTGGCAACACACCCTACTACGAATCATGGTACCCGAACCATGTTATCTCTCTACTACCTGCTATTTAGAACCTTAGGAATCTTCCCTATTTC